GAAAAAAACCTAAAAGCCAACATAGTCTTGAAAGCTCAAACTCTGGTTTAATTGATGATTTCAGAGGATGTCAATATGATGTTAAAAATCATAGCAATTAAAGGGCAAGTAACAATAGCACAGTATTTTTCTAAAGTCTTTTTCAGTTTCTTTTTTTTCTTAATGTTCATTTATTTCTGAGGGAGAGAGAGAGAGACAGTGAGGAGGAGGGGCAGAGAAAGAGGAGAGAGAGAATCCTAAGCAGGGTCCACGCTATCAGCACAGAGCACAATGTGGGGCTCGACTTCATGAACCGTGAGATCGTGACCTGAGCCGAAATCGAGAGTCGGACGCTTAACCGACTGAGCCCCCCAGGCACCTCGCCTTTTTAAGTTTCTAACCAGGAAGATTAAAAGTCATTTTTCAGGTTGAGAGAGAAAATCAAATGTCAAAAGGATTTTCCTTCTCTGAAAATGGGCAATTGTGAGACTAGTGTGCCAAGTGTGAGACTTGTGCCTGGCCTCTGGCCAGGGCAAGACCACAGGAAGTCAAAGTGACTTGGGTTAAAACAGCCAAGTGGTGTTCTCAGCCCATCGGTAGGGTATTAGGGACCCAGCACAGCAATGGGTGACAAAGAAAGGATGGGTTAACCAAGTAAAAATGGTTAAAAAAGACACCGATCTCTCCCTGGGCGTTCTTCTTCTTTTATATATTGCTTTAGATTTTTCTGAAACTTAGGACATTAGCTGAATTTGTATTTTATATGCAATTTCAGAAGTAGCATTGGTAGATTTTATCTGGTTTTTAAAATCCTCTTGTAATTGAAATATACATATAAAAAAGTGCACAAATTACACACCTACGGCTTGATGAAATACCACACAATAAGCACACCGAAGTAATCACCACCCCGAGTGTTACCTAGAAGATTCCTCATATTTCTTTCCAAGTACTGTTTACTCCCCCCAACCCCCTCATAGATTAGTTTGGCCTGTTTTTGAACCATATATACATGAAACTACCCAGTATGATCTTCTGTGGGTTTTGTCTGTTTTGAGACATTTTTTAATGTTTATTTATTTTTGAGAAAGAGAGAGACAGAGTGAGAGTGGGGGACGGCCAGAGAGAGAGGGAGTCACAGAATCCGAAGCAGGCTCCAGGCTCTGAGCTGTCAGCACAGAGCCTGACGCGGGGCTCAAACTCACAAACCAGAGATCATGACTTGAACCAAAGTCGGACGCTTAACCAACTGAGCCACCAGGCGCCCCATTGTTTGTTTGGCTTTTTTTTACTGGTTTCTTTTGCTCGACACTTTTTGTGAGATTCATTCATGGTGTTGCATGTAGAATTAGATCCCTTCATTTTCACTGTTGCATGGTTTTCTAAGGAGTGAAAAACTGTAATTTATGTATCTAGATTATTGTTGATAGAATTTGATGGATTAGGGTTCTTTCCTTTTTCTTTTTACTGTTAAAAATAATGCTGCTCTTCTTGGTATGTGTCTGGTTTTTGGTGCACACTGGATATATAACTGTGAGTAGAATTTTTAAGTCATGGATCATACATATATTCAACTTAAGTAGGTAATACCAAACAACATATGTATAATTTTAAATTTCTTTATTTATTTTGAGAAAGGAATAGAGAGAGAGCAGGGGAGGGGCTGAGAGAGGGAGAGAGAGAGAATCCCAAGCAGACTGTATATTGTCAGCCTAGAGCCTGAGGTGAGGCTCAAACTCACAAACCTTGAGTCATGACAGAAGTCGAAATCAACAGTCAGTCACTTAACTGACTGAGCCACTCAGGCGCCCCCCCCAAACAAGATTTTAAAGTGATTTGCTAATTTACATTTCCACCTGCTGTGTATGGAAGTTTTTGTTATTTCACATTATTGCCCAAACTTGGTAATATTAGTGTTTATGGTGGGTATGCTTTAGTGTCTCATTGTACTTTTAATTTTCATTTCCCTGATGAATATGACATTGAGCACCTTTTTTTATATTTATTGGCCATTAAATTTTTTTTCATGTTTCTTTATTTTTGAGAGAGAGAGAGAGAGAGAGAGAGGGAGAGCAGGAGAAGGGCAAAGAGAGGGAGACACAGAATCTGAAGAAGGTTCCAGGCTATGAGCTGTCAGCCCAGAACCTGAGTGGGGCTCAGACTCACAGATTGCAAGATCACGACCTGACCCAAAGTTGGACCCTTAACTGACTGAACCACCCAGGCATCCCATTTATTGGCCATTTTAATGTTCTTTGTCAAATGCGTCTTCAAGTTTCTTGCCTAGTTTTTTGGGAGGAGATATTATGTTCTTTCATATTGAGTTGTAAGAGGTCTTCATATATTCTGGGTACCGTCCTTTTGTTGGATTTTATAAATATTTCTCCCATTTGGTAACTTATATTTCCACTGTTTCATTGTGTCTTTTTATTATTTTTAACATCAGTGAAGTCCAATGTATTGCTTATTTCTCTTATGATTAGCTTTTTTTCCCGCTGAAGCAGTCCTGCTCTAGTCCATGAGCATAAAAAATTCTTTGATATGATTTTCTAGAAGCTGTATTGTTTTATCTTCCACACTTAGAATTTAAATCTACCTGGAACTGATTTGTGTATATGGTGTGAAGTAAGGAATCATGTTTTACTTTTTCTTTCCATATGGCTATCATATTCCTAAATAATGGGATATATCATGCTCATGCAAGGTTAGACCCAATATTGTGAAAATACCAATTATCTCCAAGTGGATCTATACATTTAGTGCAATTCCAATGAAAGGACCAGCAGGTTTCTTTGTGGAAATTGACAACCTGATCTCTAAATTCCTTTGGAAATGCATAAGACCAACAAAAGTACATTCTTGAAGAAAAATAATGTAGGAAGATGTATTCTACTGAAGATTGTATTATACAATCAAGGAACGGTAATTAAAACCAGGCAATATAGAGACAAGGCCAGACAAATAGACCAGTAAAATAAAATGGAAGTTGAGAAATAGATTCTCATATATGGCTACTCAATTTAAGAACAAGATGACATCGCATAGCAGTAGAGAAGAGATAATCCTTAAAAGTATTCTAATCTTAGGGGCACCTAGGTGGCTCAGTTGGTTAAGCGTCCAGCTTCGGCTCAGGTCATGATCTCACAGTTCATGAGTTCAAGTCCCACATCGGGCTCTGTACTGACAGCTCAGAGCCTGAAGCCTGCTTTGGATTCTGTGTCTCCTTCTCTCTCTGCCCCTTCCCCACTCATGCTCTGTCTCTCTCTTTCTCTTTCTCTTAAAAATAAATAAACATTAAAAAAAATTTTTTTAATACTCTGATTTTTAGTTTAATGTAGTAATTGAAGTTAGAAAGGTAGTAAGTCATAGTTAGATATTTTAGATACGTGTCATTTTCAAGTATGATATCCTTTGATGTTTTGTAGTTTTAATGGTGATAGTTAAGGGAAAGGTCTGGGATGTTTAAGGTTCAAATAAATGCAGTCAGTTAAAGCCTGTTGTTCTAAACATCTGCCATATGGTTGTGATTCTACCATCTCGATAGAAGTATATCTTGATTGCAGACAAAATATGTGATGAGCCAAGGAAGTAACTGAGAACTTCCTTTGAGACTAACGCTGTTCAAATCTCGTGCGGCTAACGAAGGTGTACATATGGTTGACCTTTCTGGGGTCAAATTTTAGAATTCACATGTGCCGATCAAGTCAACACACACAAAAAGAGAAGGAAAAAGATGGGTGTCTGAAAATAGTCAACGAGATGTGTGGTCAAGGGGTACAGAACCTTGGAGGAAGTAGCCATTGGATTGGACTCGTGCGTTCACAAAGCACTTCTCAGAGAAGGTGGATTTGTGTTAAGCCTTGAAATAGGAGTAGGTTTTGGAGAAGTACATGGATGAGGGTAGAGTCATCCCTGGTGTAGACAGACATGAGAAAATGAAAGACGGGGAAATGAGCATTCTATTTGTCTATATGCTGGGGAGGGGGTGTATATATAATGTGTGGGGACAAGCAGCAGAGTGGGGTAGAATATTTAGGTTGATGAATAGTAGAAAATAGCTTGAGTTGATAGACTGGAGCCATGTTACAGGGGAACTTGAAAAATAGCAGAGGAATTCGAATTTACATAAGAAGCAGGAGAGAGCTGGGACTTGTTGGTACCGTATCACTTTGTCCCCAGTCCTTAGCGGAGTGCAGGGACTATCAGACATACTCGTTGATATTTGTTGAATAAATAAACAGGAGAAATAGCAGGATTCAAGAAGTAATAGCCAGTCTCTGCCCTGGGTTAGCACATAAAACCCCTAATAGAGCCATCATCCCCCACATGAAACGCTTCCAGGACACGGATGGCTGCTGACACTTAGGAATGTTCGAAATCAGAATGGCTCACATAGTCACGGACTTCATGGTAAGGAGTGTTGCACTGACAAAACACTGATCATTAACTGCCATTTTATTTTCGTTATTTTTAAATTTATGTTATTTTTTAAAATTTCCATTTTATTTTCATTACATTTTAATTTATTTTCGAGAGAGAGCATGTGAGCAGGGGAGGGGCAGAGACAGAAGGGGACAAAGGATCTAAGGTGAGCTCTGTGCCAACAGCAGAGAGACCCATTTGGGGCTCAAACCCACGAACCGTGAGATCATGACCTGAGCCAAAGTCGGATGCCCACCTGACTGAGCCACTCAGGCCCCCCATTCATTTCCATTTTAAAAAACCCAAAGGAGGGGCACCTGAGTGGCTCAGTCGGTTAAACGTCTCAGCTCAGGTCTTGATTGCAGGGTCGTGAGTTCAAGCCCCGCGTTGGGCTCCATGCTGGGGGTGAAACCTACTTCAAGAAAGAAAAGAAAAGAAAAAGCCCAGAGGGAAAACAACTCGCTTTCTGAGTCCTATCCTCCAGTTCCAACTATATGTTTTAAGAGACCATGGAGATGATCAACCCAGGAAAATAATATGGGATTTGCCTTTTTTTTTTTAAGGAAGACATCGATAATAAATGCTATTTTTGGTTACAGGTTTATGCTTCTGCCTGTCTGCACATTCAAGGTTAAGTTCATAAGATGTGGGGGTCTAGCACTCCATCTGTTCATTCCCGTACTACAGAGAAGGGCAAAGTCAATACCTCACCCTGCAGGTACCACCTGATGATGCCTTCCTAATCACCACTCCCCTCTAGCTGCCACCTGTCCTGGATCTCACCCAAAGACCCTTTAGGGGAAGGTGAAACCCTTCATTAGCACCTCAATGAGCTTCACCCTCCTTGCCTGAGAATTCTTTCCCAGGGCATGAACAGAAGTGTCAAGTCCAGTAATTGGGCCAAACGATACTGTTATACTGTTCTCTTGTGCTGTGCCCACAGCATCCATGAGGCCCCACAATTGCTCGTGGAATCCCCAAGCTAAGAGACCAGAGAGAGAACCGTCCAAGCACACAGCATTTTCCAGTTGAGGAGACGGAGCCTCCTGGAATGACTTGCCCAAAGACACACACACCTGGTTAGTGGGGCGGTGGGAACAAAGCCCAGACTCTGCCCCTAGCCAGCTGTTCTCACGCTTAGCCACCCTGCCTTGCTCCTTTCTCATGGCTCACCATATGGTAGCCCTGATTTTTGCCTTCATGTCAAGTCAAAGCCGTGCGCTTGTCACAAAGTGAGTTTACAAGGCTGATAACCCACTGCCCCACATAGTACGGTCCCTCACGGGGCAGTTCTGTGGTTCCAGGCTCTCCGGGCAGCTGCCCAAAGTGAATCAAAGCTGGAAAGTCTTGTGACTTGAGGCCCTCTTGGTTGAAAATGACTTCTCTCCAGGACATGTGGCCCCCGACAACGTTTATGCTGAGTTGCCTGTGCAGCATGGCGAATAAGGGCTCTCAAGCTGACAGGCTATGAGAGCGATGGTCTACACTGCAGAGCATCTGGGAAATCCAAAACCACAAAATGCAAATGGATGGATGCAAGGCGCATCACCTTCATTGTCAATGTCGGAAAAGTGTATCTCGCTCCGGCCAACGTTTGATGGAATGTGACACCCGGAAAGGACATGGTGCCCCACAGCCCTCCATTTCCAGGTAAATCAGTGAAAGCCCAGAAAGGGCAGGTGACTTTTAGTGGCTGAGTGGGAATGACATCTTTTCTAAGACTCCTGGTCTAGCGTTCTTGTAACTGTGTTTCCGTTAGAAGAAAATGCTTCCATGAAAGTGGCATTGAGTTGTTCAGATTTTATCACCTGGTATAAAATAAGATTTCTAAAAACCTCGTAAACTACTTTTATTGATTTATATTAATAAATTACTTTATTGATATAATTTATTAATATTTATTTAATTAATTGTTTTTATTGTTTGTTTTTGGGAGAGAGAGATTGTGTGCAAATGGGGGAGAGAGAGGAAGAGGGGGGGAACAGAAGATCCGAAGCAGGCTCCAGCCTCCACGCGGACAGCAGTGAGCCTGATGCGGGGCTTGAACTCACAAACCATGAGATCACGACCTGGGCTGAAGTCAGATGCTCAACCGACTGCGCCCCCCCCCCCAGGTCCCCCCAGTACTTTCTCTGTCCTTAAAACTCCTAAGAGATGGGGCATATTTTATTGAACACCGCACAATTCTGGAACCCCAGATCCACCTCCCTCATTGTAAGAACAAAGGCAAACACTATAATCTCCAGGGTCTCTCGTCCCGATTGTCTCCGTCTCGATAAACAGGACCTCGATTTCCAGTTGTTCAAGACCAACACTTAGGACTCATCTCCGGTTTCTCCCTTTTGCCTCCCACCTCCCCGCCCCCCCTTCCCCGCTGCTGGCCCTCTTGCTTCTACCTCTAAAGTTTATCTTGACCCCATGGGCTCCCTCTCCCTGCTCACCCTGTCCGTCTACCCCATGCCATCCACCACCCCTCCTTCCCTCACCTCGCCTTCTCTGCTAGCTTCCTGACTGGTTTCTCTGCCTTGGCTCTTGCCCCACTAAAACCTGTTTTCTACACCAGAATTCACACCAAAATTTTCTACTTTTTTTTCCCCCCAATTAACTAGTTTAATTTTTTTTTTTTTTAACTGAGAGTTTGTTTTTAGGGCAGCTTTAGGTTCACAGCAAAATTGAGTGGAGGGTACAGAGATTTTTCCCACATGCCCCTGCACATAACCCACCCCCGCTCACATGGGCTCGTGAGCTCTCAACATCCCCCACCAGAGTGGAACAGTTGTGAGAGTTGATGACCTTGCATGGACGAATCCTTATCTCCGCAAACCCATAGGGTTCGCTGGTGGTGGTGTACATTCTCTGGGTTTGGGGCAGAGGGTTGTTTTTTTTTTTTTTTTTTTTTTAAACATAACTCAGATCCTGTCTCACTCCAGCTGAGAAACTTCCGGCTTCTCATGGCCCCGGGCATAAGGACGTTCCCATCTCAAGGCTTTGGACTTTCCATTTCTGGCATTTGCTGGGCGAGAACACTTTTCCTCACCTCTTTCCGTAGTTGGATCCTTCACATCCAATGCCGTGACCTCAAAGAGGATCTCCTGATCCAACCTATTTGAAAGTGGCCAATTCCTCCTTCCTTTCCACTTCTGTAATATTTTCTTCAGGGCTCTGAGCCTACTCTGCAAATCTCCTGTTTCTCAAATTCATCTTTCTTCCCCCGTTATAATGTAAGACCCATGCCCCCACGACCTGACCTTGTCCCCTATAGGCACCTGGTAAGCACTCAGTACAAATCCGTTGAGTGTTGAATGCTAGGTCATACCAAGCATTTCTTAGGTTGTCATGCATAGGTACTTTATAATCATATTATATGTCATCCACGTACTGACCCTAAAAAATACAGGTTCAATTATTCCCATGTCATAGATGAGAAAACTGAGAGAGAGGTTAAGGGGCTTGACCAAAATCACCCAGTTGGTGAAGTTCACCCTCAGGAGCCTGGCCTAAAACCTACGCCTTAAGCCGCTCAGCCCTACTGAGAGAATCCGTGATAATTGGGTACCTTCTTCTATCTGACTGCCTTTGTCTTTACAGATTATAGACTAAAGGGTTCACTGGGGATGATAGAAAAGATGGCAATTCTTCCTTCAGGGATTTCCTAGTAAAGCTTTCTACGTTGGATCTATGAGCAGAGGAAGGAAGTCCAATTTCTTCCCTAGCCATAGCCCTCAGGGACCCTTTGGGTTCCGTATGATTTCATTACTCTCTTCCTCTCCTGGGGTCTCCGCAGCTCAGGGCTCCCGCTACTGTTAAGTTCTGCCCTCCCTTCCATTTCTTCACCTCTGCCAAGGACCATCTCTTCACGAGAGCAGTGGACCAGGGACAGATGAAGTTAGGAGGGGTGTGGTCCGTCAGTAACTACTGGTGGAAAGTTGGGCCTCCTTTTCTTCATCTGTAAAATCTGAGGGACAGTCTCTAAGGTCAACTTTCAGGTTTACAATATTATCACTCAAGAGGTGTTTTACTTAGCTCTTGACTGAGGGTTTTTCTCCGGTCCTCTTTGCCCCGTTTCCTCTCTGTCCATGCTCTCATTTCATGGGTCTTACATACCAACGTTGGAACAACATCATAAACCAGACCAGACAAATTCTTCGGATGCCAAGGTATTTGGCAGTATATGACTCCCCTCCAGGGAATTTCCAAAGTCAATTCATTCATCCATCCATCTATCCAAGAAATAATTACTGAGCACCTACTATGTGTAAGGTCTCATGTCAGGCGTTGGGAGTATACATGGTCTGGACCCTCATGGAGCCAGTAGGAATAAAGTTACTATTGGAGGAAAATCACAGAAGTCAATGTGAGAATATCACAGTGACAAGTACCATCAAAGGGAAGTGTATGGTGGTGTGAGAACAGACATTGGGGGTGTGGAGGTTGACCTAACAGGGACAGTCAGTGGGGACTTTCCTGAAGAAACAACAGGTTCACCAGAAGACGAGTGGTAAGGGTGTTGTAGCCAAAAGGAATGGCCTATGCAAAGGTCCTGTGGCAGGAGGTAGCATCACATGCTCTAGGACCAAAAGCTCAGTGTGCTTGTTGTGCAGAAAACATGGAGAAGTCAAGGATGACAAGGAAAATGTAGGGAGACCAGAAGTCAACAGGCCAAGGCGTCTTAGCCCTCCTGCAGAAGACTGTCCTCACCCAGTTAGAGGTCCTCAGACATGGTTCTTCCTTAAGCAACCTATGAAAACTTTAGCTTGGAGAAAGGACAATTAAAATTCATTAGGGTTTGGTTTTTTTTTTAATCCTTTCTACATAACTGTGCTAAGAGACTTGTTTGGAATCGAGAAGAAAGTCCCCATCCATTGTCAATCGGCACCAAGACCTGGACATAAGAAATCCAGCAAAGAATTCATTCCTGTCCTGCCCTTTCTGGCCACGTTGCAGAGGATGGCTGTGTGTGTTGTGGCAAACTTCCCGCTCCCAGTCAACCAAATGAAGCTGTACAGACTGAATACAAAGCATTTGCTAGAGAAAGAAAACCAAAGAATCAGAGACGAGACCAAAAGCTAGAAGGCTTTGCCTCTCAGTTGCTCAGAGGGATCACTCAGAGGCTGTTTTCCTCTGGAGAAATAACATAATCAACAGAGGCTGGAAGTTCCAAAATAAAGTTTAGAAAAAAAATAATAAATGGAGGTGATTCAAAACAGTGGTAATTACCCATTCTTTCCCCATTCTAGATGACTCACACTGGATCAATAATCCAAATGACTTTCTTCTCATTAGTCCCAAATTGGAAAACTTTGCCAGGGTTGTAAGAAGGAGAGTTGATGTGCATTAGCTGAATTCAGTTTCGAATTCAGTTTCGTGGATGCTAAGTGCCCCCACAAGCTTAAAATAAAATACCTGCTTTACAGACTTGTCTATAATTCTCCATGGCAGAGGAGATAACTGAGCAAGCTATTGCGGGGGCCCCCCCCCCGCTGGTTCTAAGCAAACAAAAAATAATAATAATAATAATAATAATAATAATAATAAAACACCTCTGCTTCCATCATCTGGAAATTGAGATGCCAGCACGTCAGTCTTGTGAAGTGTGAATGTTAGTGTGTTAAATAAACATTTTAAAAAAAAGGAACCCGCTTGACAGTTATTTTTAAGAGTCTGGCATATATATTTTTCCTTCATCCAAAGAGCTCAAAATTGGCTTAAGTGGAGATTAATTGAAAAAAGTTCACCTCCAGAGTATGATTAAGCCTGGAAAATTTTAGCCAATAGGGGAATTTTTCATAAAATTATGACTGAGTGGAAATAGTGCTATAATGGAAGTCTGTGTATAATGGGCGCCATTAAAATTATATATGTATGTATTTGAGCATCGGCAGGTAACCGACTTACAGGGTTACAGTGCCGTGAAGGGTTTCTGGTGATATTATAAGCTACAGGCGCAAAGCTCAAGTCATCCAAATTCCTAAATGGAATTACAGTTAGATTAAAAAATATTCTTGCCATAATTATACACCAGGCACGGTTTGGATCTTACAATTAACTTCTCTGTGCACAGGCTTCGCCTACCTAGTAATGGGTAATCCGATTCATATGTAATGGAATCAGAGGATATTCAGAATAGGAAGCGGTCTCTGACTTCCTAGTTTGTTTTCAGTGCAAAATGCATGAGGAAACCAAATAAACCAAATAAACACGAGGAACGGCCATCTTGTAAATACCGCCCGGCAGCAGCTTTGGTGATCCGTAGATACAAAAGTTCAGGATGGAGGCCAAAACTCCAGCGTCTTAGTCTAGTACTTTCCATGGTTTGGGATTTCATTCCTCCTCTGGTCAGCTTCTCACCTGCAGTTTATAGGGAATCCTAGAATTTTTATGTAAGAGGAGCGTAAGGGTGTCTCTTTGGTTGCAGGATAGGAGTAAGTAGGTAAAATGGGCTTTTCGCGCTGGAATGTGGATCTGGGGGTCTTGCGGGCACAGATTCCAATCTATCGGGTCTGTGATGTGGCTCTAAGAAACTCCCAGGTGATCTGTTGTGTTGCTCCCAGGACCTCACTCTGAGGACCAAGGCATTAAGAGGACTTGACTCACAACTGGATTGGCATGAAGGCCCCAAATGTTCCTTAGATTGTGTGTGTGTGGAAAGCCTCTAAGGTGATTGATGAAGGTCAGGGGTAGGTCCTTCCAACAAGCCCTTGGCTTGCCTCCTGACCGATCTCAGTGACAAATGGGTATTAAATATAACTGTGAGATCCCATCAGTAGGATCTAGACGCAATCAGTCTGAAAAGATCATCTGCCCATCTGCTGCGATTCACCCAGCATCCTGAACTCTTTTTTCTTTTCTTTATTCTTTTCTTTCCTTCCTTCTTTCCTTTAACTTTTTTTTTTTTAATTTTTTTTTAAGGTTTTATTTAGTTTTGACTGAGAGAAAGAGACAGACCATGAGCGGGGAAGGGGCAGAGAGAGGGAGACACAGAATCCCAAGCAGGCTCCAGGCTCTGAGCTGTCAGCACAGAGCCTGATGCGGGGCTCAGATTCGCAAACCGTGAGATCGTGACCTGAGCAGAAGTCGGAGGCTTAACCGACTGAGCCACCCAGGTGCCCCGAGATCTTCTTATTATAGTCCTACCAGTCCCTGAAATTCTCCTTTTTTTTTTTTTCCCCCTCTCTGTTATCTCTCTGTTGTTCAGATTGGATTTCTATTGTTCTGTCTTCCAAGTCACTGATTCTTTCCTCTTTCCGATCCTGGTATTGAGCCCATCCACGGAGATCTTATCAATGAATTTTCTTTCTTTACTTTTTATATTAACTGTATTTTCCCATTTTAAATCTGCCATTTGGTTCCATTTCCTGGTGGAGGCTTTTTGTTTCTGCATCTGTTTTAGGCTTTTTGTAATTGCTCATTGAAGCATTTTTATTAGGGCTGCTTCTGCCCGATTATTATTTAAAAAAATTTTTTTAATGTTTATTTATTTTTGAGGGAGAGAGAGAAGCAGAACACAAGCAGGGAGGGGCAGAGAGAGAGGGAGACACAGAATCCAAAGCAGGCTCCAGGCTCCGAGCCGTCAGCACAGAGCCCAACGTGGGGCTCGAACCCACCAACCGCCAGATCATGACCTGAGCCGAAGTCAGACGCTTCACCGACTGAGCCACCCGGATACCCCTGCCTGATTATTTTAACATCTTCTATGTTGGTGTTGTCCTCTGCTACTCCCTTTGAGGTCTCACTGGTTCCTGGTACAGTGAATGGTTTTCAGTTGAAACCCAGATATTTTTGTGTTACGATATGAAGCTCTGGGTCTTATTTAAACTTGCTGGTTTAACTGGGTTTTTTTCTGACACTGCTGTGGCAGGGGACAGGGGCTGTGTTCATGTTTCTGCCAGATGGAGATGAAAATGCAGGTGTCCACTGATGCTTAGGGGAGCAGGTGGATTCCTCCTCTCCCCCCGGGGGTCATAGGATTTCTAGTTCCCCTGTGGTCTCCACAGACACTGTGAGGGGCCGACGGGCTTCTCACCAGCCCGTGGGGATAGAAGTCCCTCCTCCTTACTGCCTTATTGTGGCAGTGCCCGGGGGGTGCACTGGGGAAGTTGGGCACGTTATTACAGCGGAGGTGGGCTCCTAGCCCCCTTTGCAGTTGGGGTTGGGGTGGGGCCACAGTTCTTCTCTACGGCGTCTGGCTGGAGTAGACAGGTCATTGCCTAAAAGTTTTCTGTCTTGTTACACTGCCCCTTTCTGCTCCTTTGACTGGCGAGGGTAGGCTCTTTGTGAGTCTGTTGCCGTCTCCTGCTGGCTTCTCCAGCCCCAAGGCTAGAACATATGATACAAAAAGAAAATCGGGGCCTCACTACTGTGCTGTGCCTCTGGTTCTGGGGTCCTCAGCAGCCCCCCTTCTTCTCTTCACCTTCAGGCTCTTTTACTGTCCTTGTACTGAGTGGGAGAAGTACATTTACTCATCTCCCCGGAAGCAGAAGTCATTATAATTAGTTCGTTGCCATGATTTCGTGTTCCTATGGAAAGACCCAGGTCCTAATTTACTTCTGATGGTTGCTGGTCCGGGTATAGGACACATGTCTTGGTTTAGTGAAGTGTGACTGCAGACATGAGTTAAACAGCCTCCCAACTCTGACTTTCAGAGGATTCACAGGGACTATATCTACATTACTTCGTTGATGTTTTCGCTTGTTTGTTTGTTTTTGTCACAGAAGATATATTTCAATGACCTTTTGCGTAGGGTGAGATTACTTTTCTCAACTTGTAAAAAAAAACAAAAAAGAAGACTTACGATCTCATATGGCGTCAGTGGTGTCAGAAAGATCCAGGTTGCTTCCATCTTTCTGATGTGGCAAGCTTAGCTTCCCTCAAGGGTGCAGCAGGGCTGCAGTAGCTCCAGACATCACATGCAGAAGGAGAGGGGGCACACTTGTGTATAATCATATTTATTAGAAGTCTCCCAACAAGGTTTCTCTGCACCGCGTTCGCCAGAATGGTAGCACACACGTGGGGCCAGCTATATAATTTGTAATGATTTGTGGGGCCCAGTGCAAAATTAAAGTGTGGCATCTCTTGTCCAACAGTTATTAAGAATTTCAAGATCGCAGCGAAGCATTAAACCAAGTGTGGGGTCCTTCTGAGACCAATGCCCTGTGCAACTGTGCAGGTTACGTGCCCGCAAAGCTGGCCTTGTCCAGGCCTATGATGGAACTAATTTCAAAGAGAAAAGGGTCCTAGATTTATTGCCGAAATTTGGGGTGCCAGCAGCCCTTCTTGAACCATAGGGAGAGAGGGATGGAAGCCAAAACAAAATCAAGGTGTTGTGATTGCAGGGGGGCTGGCGGTGCGGGAAGGCTTTCGGTTGGGCATCGATACCGTCCAGTTTGAGTGTGAGTCTTTCTGCTTGCGTCATATTTTACTACCTCCCCAAAGTTCCTAGTTCTGGATGTAGCTCAGTTCTGCCTCTTTGTGCATTTGAGCAAGTGTTTTCATTTCTCTGAATTTAAATTTTCTTATTTGTGAAATCAGAATCTGGGGTGTGGCCCTCATGGCCATGTTATGTCCATCACCAGAGGGTGGAACCTTGACCCTCTGTCTGGATGAGGATTGCAAGTCTGTAATAATTTCTACTCCTTCTCTATTATGTGGTCAGGGATTTCCTTGGGCTGACGAGGCCCTGGGGCATGTTGGCATGCTCTGTTTCCTGCATGTTGTGGGGGCTGAGGGAGGAGGTAGGGAAAAGGCTCTGTTTCTTGTTTCCGTCACAGATGGAGGGGCAGTGTGATGGAGGGAACTTTCGTGTGAAGTGTAAGTCCTAGGCTGTGGCCCAGAGACTTGGTCCCCCATACCATCCGAGTCTCGGGCATGAGAATGGTGCCCTTTCATAGTATGTATTTTGGCTCATACGCTAGGCTACGTCTTAGAGCATGTGGTAGATGGTAAGTTGGCCACAGGTATGTCTCTATTTTCCGTAACCATCTGTGTTACATTGTAGCTTCTCTCATCAAAAGTTGGAGATTTTAGGAGCACCTGGTGGCTCAGTCACTTAACTGTCCAAGTCCTGGTTTTGGCTCAGGTCATGATCTCACAGTTCATGGGTTTGAGTCCCACATCCGGCTCTGCGCTGACATCGCGGAGCCTGCTTGGGATTCTCTCTCTCCCTCTCTCTCTCTCTCTCTCTCTCTCTCTGTCCCTCCCCTGCTCGCTCTCTCTCTCTCAAAAATAAATAAACTTCAAAAAAAAATTTTAAGTTGGAGATCTTATCTCCACCTGCGAATCTAGGTTGGCCTTATGACCTACTCTGGGCGATGGAACGGTCATAAACGTGGCTCAAGAAGAGAACTAAAAGCGCACATTGCAACTCTGTCCTTGCTCTGGATTTTGGAGCCTTGAGACCCGCACATCCCAGGCCGGGACTGCTTGGAGTTGGGGGTGCTGTAGAGCTGAGGACCCCAGAACAACCAAAACCAACCACCCACCAAACACCAGATCCGTGGAAGCGGTCATATCTATCCGTTTCCCATCGCTGCCATAAAAATTAGCAGAAACTCAGTGTATCACGATCATGGGGGTGATATCCCATCACCTTTTCTATATTTTATTGATTAGAAGCAGGCCACGGG